TGGCTAGTTAAGTGGACTTCCTGAGCAGCGCATTTTGGCCCAAATGGTTTACTTTTTGCAAAGAGTTCCATACAAATTGTTTGAATCTGGTCTTTCAAATCAGTAGACAGAGAGTAAATTATTTTGTGCGGCATGTGTGATTTTGATTCCATTTTGTCTAAAGTGTCAGTTCTTGTGAGCGCCAACAGTTTAGATTTGGCTGTTGTCAAGATTTGCTTAGCTGCCTCCATAGCACCAGAGCTGGTTTCTAGAAGCATCTTCTGAGGTGAGTTTGCTATTTTGCAGGCCACTTCTGCAGTTCTTAAGCATTTTTTCTCCTCACAAGACGTGGAAAAGTGTTTGTTTTTCTCACCACAGCAGATCTTAGTGTTGTTACTGTTGATGACTAGCTTTTAGAAGCAGTGGCTACTCCAAAATGTTTCATTTGGGTGGCCAGATGGGGTCACTGAAAATCTTTGGGTGGTATGAATTCTGTTATGTTGCTCAAGGATATAGGCTAGCTTAAAACTATGTTAGTATGGAGAATTAAGGAATCATATACTGATAAACTTTGTTTTCTCTTGTTGCAGTTATATACATATGATATGATGTGTGTTATGGCTTCTATTTCCATGTCGATGCCCAGCAGACATTTCAACATGCTTTGCAAGTGAAAAGATAAACAGATCAGAATGATGATTTGCATTATTTACTGTGTTTAATAGATGTTTATTGTAGAAGGTTGATTTCCATGGTCCAGTCTTACAATACAAGTGATGGTGTTCTGACAATATTTACAGGTAACAACAAAAAAAAATGAAACAAACAAAGCAATTGAAAAACTGTGTGCTGGTGTCTTCCTGAGTTGACTAAATGTGACACCTTCCTAATTATCCCAAGTCTGCAGGTAAATCAAGGCTTCAAAATAAGAACAATTACAAAAATAAATGGAAAAAAATATATTTCTCACCTAACCATTATACATAAACCAAGGCATAAATAAAATACACATTGGGTTCAGTTACCAAATAATAATACACATAAAAATGGCTCAGACAATGTGCATAGACTATTAATAGTACAGATAACATTTTGAGTTCCACAACAGTCATGTTATATATACCATACATGTGATTTTTTTTTTTTTTAACAGGCAGGTTGTCCTTTTCTACAAAGACAGATTTTGTTGTCAGTGGAAACACCGCTGACTGTAGGACGGTATCTTCCAGGGAAATACACTAATGACATTAATGAATTCATCTGTTTAACCCTGTTTTACCATACAGGAAAGATCTTCAAAGGCGCAGTGTGGGTGTGCTCCTCAGAGAGTCCTTTTTATGAATGCACATTCCTCACCATGTTCTTTCTGGTCTTTTCCAAAGCCCTGTTAAAATATTATGTCTGCCCCAATTTTTCATATCCTATGATAGCCATAATGCTCCTCTATCCACTTAATGTTTTTAGAAAAGAAAAAAATAATCCATGTCTTCCATGTCTGAATATCAGTGTATGTGTGAATTGCCTCGAACATTGCCTCTGTCTGTTCTAGCCTTTGTTTATGGTTCAAAAGAAAAAGCATTGATGTAAAACAGAGTGATTTCAACTGTTTTTAGGCTGTTATGGAAAGAACTTTCCATAGCTAGCGCAGTAGCCTTTATTTTCTTGCATCTAGTCAAAAAGAAACATTAGAATATAAACCATCACTATAAGACACCATCAAACTGAGATAAAATATGCTAAACTAATTATAAACATGATTGCTGTCTGAAAAGTATCAAACACATGGACATGGACTATGCAAAGCCTGGTTATCTATAATGTTTCACAGCAGGAGAGAGTGATACATTGGGTGGTGAATTATGAATCAGTAGTACACCAGAAAAAACAAATATTAAACTCTTATTACCTGCACTGTTACATTAGTGTTTGTATATTTGCCTTTGGGCAGTCAAATTCTACGAAGAAGCAAACATACATGTTGGGAGGTTTTGACAAGAGTTAGGCTTCCATCAAGCCATGACTGTGCTGAAGTGAAAGCACAGTGACTCTCAGGAAGAGGCCAATCCATGCTTAATGTCATGGGCTGGTTAATGTGGAGGTTAACACTCAAGTGTTGGAAACATGTGATCCATAACAGTAAGGCAGTGTTAATTTAGGGACTGCCATATGTCAACACAACCCATTTAATCACTTATACAACCCAGATCAAGATGCTTAAACATTTTAAAGCCCTTCTCAGAATAGAGGCTGCTACTAGCTTTATGCCCCACAGTGTAATCTTGCCTGTGGTGTCTGCAACCACTGAAGTATAACTAATGTTCATCCTTGGACTTTAATGGAACACTGACATTTTGGAAAATAACCAATTTGTTGTGTGGATGAGAATGAAATCTCTATGGGGATTAGATTTTCCCAGTCCTGCACAATGTAAAAAAGGGCACACTGTTATTTTAGCAGGGCTGGATTATTCTGAAGGGGAGCCTTCTAAAAGAGCAGAGGAAAAATATTGTCCTGTCCATTTATGTTGATAAATCCAAATTATTTCCCATTTGTTTCACCAATGTAGTGTGGGGGGGAAGGGGGAGGGGGGGGGGTTTGTACACTATCACTGGGGTGAAATTGATTTATATTATGTTAAGATTTGATTTATATTATGTCAAGCCAGCTTGAACCATTTTAAGCTGAAATCTGCAAAGGATCAAGACCTTTGACGGATCACAACACCTGCATAAAAATAAATAACAGGCTTTGCAACCATCAGAAAGACTCTCATTCATTTATGTCCAAATCTGTGCTGGGTCAAACTCTTCTATGGTAACACTGTTCACCCCTATTGATCAAGTGCAGAAACATTTTGCGGACATGCTTTAGTGGTTTAAAAAAAACAAACAAACAAAAATGAGTTTGGTGATGTTTGGACAAGCTGACATTGATTAACGGCCAAATTTTGTGTCTAAAGCTCATGCACTTGTATGGAACTGGTGGCACTCCCTAGGGAGTGGTTTCAAAATAATTTTACACTTGTCATTCAACATTGTAGAGGAACATGTCCTGAAAATTTTGTAATGATTATACAAACAATTTCTGAATTATAGTCCTATTTTGTGGCATGTCACATCCATTTATTTTGCATTTGCAGCATCACTGTAGTGTTGATTTTGAATAAAACTTTCAGGGTTTGTTTTAGGTACTTATGTGTATATATCCTGCAAGTTTCGTGATGATTGGCTCAAGGGTTGAGGAGGTAAGTCTATATATGTATTGATCAGCACCCTGTCAAAGTTTGTTGTTTAATATCTTTGAAAAACAATGAGACATTAACAAGATTTTGATAACTTTTCAGAAACTTAGTCCAAGTAATCCACAGAAAATTTTACACACATGGTTCAACATTATTATCTAAAATATCAAGCATGTTTTGTTTCTGTTTTGGACAAACAGTTTTTGATTTATTGTCTAATCTGTGTTATGCCTCACCCTTTTTTATATTTGTCACCCCCAGTGGTCATTTTGAATGGAACTTTCAAGGTTTGTTGGTAGTACATATGTAGACATTTACTGCAGGTGTTGTGATGACTGGCACAACAGTATCTTCAATATGCAATGAGATATCAAAAAGCTTTTGATACCTTGTGATGAGCTAATGATCCATAGAAAATTGGTACCTACGGTGGAAAATCTAATAGGCGGACCTTAATGGTTATTGAGGCTTTTTGTGTTGCACATTGAGCTGGACTGGACTGAAACTGTCAAGTTTCAAGTAAATCCAGCAAACAGTGTAGGTGTTATAACTGTTCTAAATTAACCTTTAATTATAGTGCCCCCTTTCACGTCGATTGGGGTCATATTTCTTGGGCAGCATTTGCACAACTTCCAATCACTGGTGAACATTTGTGTACATGTGTCTGACATGTACAGTACCATCTCACAGGAATATGTGAAAACACTTCTGATGATAAAAAATAATTCATAGAAAAACAAGAGGGGTTTATTTCAGCCCTTCAGGTTTGAAACCCCTAAAAATGTGTTACAGATGTACTGTAAAAAATACACATCTATGAGTAAAATCATTGATTTGTTAATTCAGAAATTCCCAATTAATAGAAAGTTTTTATATTGCAGAAGAAAAGGATAACAGGAGCGCTGCTGGTGTCCCCCAAACCACCGGTGCTCATGGAAGGGTTAAAAAATCCAGAAGGCATAAAGAATCAAAGTTCAGGCACTCAGGTCGGTTTGGAAAAATTAAAAAGCCTTTTTTTAATGGGCAAGAGTCATTAAAAACACCAAGGCGTGTCGGCTTGTGCCTTCCTCAGGGTGTATGAAGACGAGAACAAACAAAGCAATTGAATTGCTTTGTTTGCTCTCTTGTCTTCACACAGCAAATCACTAGCCCATTAAATAAAGGCTTTTTAATTTTTCCAAACCAACCTGAGTGCCTGGACTTTGATTCTTTATGCCTTCTTAATAGAAAGTTTTGTTGCGTATTTTTGGAAGCCCCACTGTGTAAGGATGGCAATGTCTGTCAGTTTGTCCATCCAACACAAATGTACTGTATCTTAAAAAAAAAAAAAAAACAAGTGTCCAGATTGTCAAGACATTTAGCATGGATATTCTAGATCTTCTTGCTCCACCATCAGGTTAAATATTTCTCCTTGGCCGATGTTTTCATTCATGACATGGTGTCTAGAAAACTAATGGCCAGATTTCCTTTACATTTTCTTTGTATTCATGATCCTCAGATAATGACTTCCTTTGGAGCCTCCTTTGAACCAAAATGCAAACTCTGCATGTTTGCACATGAGGCAGATAAAAAATCTAAAATTGCAGATCGTGTCTTCCAAAGCAGTGCCAAAACTACTCTAAAAGCCAAATATTCTTACACTGAAATTAATGTGTGTGTTTGATTTGAATAATTATTTTTGCCAGGATGTCATTCCATAAGCAGGAATTTTGTCAAAGCAAAGCTATTGTCATTGCTGGGATTTAGTTAGTGATTTGCTATCTTGTGTTATGTCTTCTAGGAATATACCTGTTGGACATGATCTACATTGACTCAGCCTATCCTGCATCAGACAGTATCATAGAGACAGAGCAACGGACCAATCAGATGAACAACCTTCTGAGGGTCATCTCCGACCTGCAGATGTCATGTAACTATGGTAGGAAACAAATAACAATATCTACATTATCTAGTGGAATAGCTTTGTTACTTGCTTGCTAGAGTTATTTGATAGTATTATTATTATTATTATTATTATTATTATTATTATTAATATCATTACTTGTTCAAGCCCAGAGGGCTGAAACCCTTTTGTTTTTGCATAAATTTGTCATTATTGATATAACTGCAAGCAGTGATTCCAGTCCAAGCCAGCATGGACTGTAAAATCTTGAACGTTGCAAAGGATCAAGAATTATTTAGTAATAATAATGATGACAATAATAATAATAATGGTAATAATGATGACAATAATAATGATGATAATTATAATAATTATAATAATAATAATAATAATAATAATAATAATAATGGTATTTTGGTAGCATATATGTCATAAGTAAATATTAGTATATGGCAGTATATGTATGTGACAATTATAGTCATATTTGTATAATAATAGTAGAAGTAGAAGATTTGGGAGGGGTCCAGAGAGAACTACAGAGTCAGACATTGTTTTTGCATATTCACACACCGACTTGACATTTATTTTTGACAACTCCGATTGGCGTAACCAGATGTTATTACCGCTGACGTGAATAACAATGTTACTGAATCTATGTTTATCCTTAGCCAGCAGCTTTAAATTTGATTCAATGTCACCTGCTTTGGAGCCAGAGCTTGGAATTTGACTAGTGGTCTGCAAAGAGTTTGCAAAAGTATGATTTAGAGAAAACTGAGTTGCAAAATCATACATTTTTAGAGCAGAAGACCACTGGAGCAAAGATACAGATACAATTGAGAGATTTATATGGTGAGAGAATTTTACCTCTAAGCCAAGCCTTTCTTGAAATAACTGTGAAAACATAAACTTGATTGTTATAGCAACACCATGATGTCAATAGGTGTGATTTTTTTATGCCTGAGTAGCGGGTGGAATTTGCAAACAACCTGCCATTTTGGTAAGTTTTTGTTGTACGGTTTTTGTTGCAGGAAGACTTTTAGCAGAGAAAAATAAGAAGAAGAAGAATCAGAGCAAAATCATTTGCTTTCTTGCTTTTTGGTCCCTTAATTAAAGATACGTGTAAATCAGTTTTGATTTGAAGTCAAAATGTTATTTCTACATGTAAAGATATATTTGTAAATTGTCAAATTTGTCTTACAAATATCTTATTTTTGCATTTCAACATGTCAAAGTAACATGTCATTTTTGCTAAACTAACACTAAATTGCTATTAGTCACTCTTATTGATTAAATGTTAAAAGGGCTTGAAATAATATCTCCAAAACCCTGCTACTCACACCAAAACAATCTAGATTGATAATTAGCACTACAGGTCAGAGGAAAAATACAAGTTTTTTATTTGGGGGTGAACTTTTCCTTTAAGTAGACCGATGCAGGAGTATTGTCCTCACGTTAGCAGTTTTACAGATATCTGATTGCCCATTTATACATGACTTCCAGCAACGTACAAAAATTCCTTTTTTGTTATCTGCATTTTATATTCCACTGTTTGGGGTTTTTTTCTGCTCAGTCTTTTGCTCTTTTTTAACTGCACACTGAGGAAAGTATAGTCAAAACATCTGTGCATTATTTTCCCCTATGCTCAACATAGAAACATGGCATCCTGATGTGGGTGTGTAACCCTCTTTTGCATTTAGTGATATTTGAATTCACCAAAGTGATGAGGGCTGTATATCATTTTAGTGGACATCCAGAGCTATTATCACTGAGTAGGTATCTGTATATAGATTCTTCTTTGTTTCCCTTGGTCAAAATGATCAAGCAAATCTTGCACATACTATATGTGATCTGTCAGTTTGAGTGTTTTATCTAACCTTCCAACCTTTTTTCTTCAGATTACTTGGTGACTCTGCCACATGTCCAGAAGTATCTGTTATCAGTTCGCTATATAGAGGAACTCCAGAAGTTTGTAGAGGATGACAACTTCAAGTAAGTCTCATCTCAGTGTCCACCTTGGTCACGACACAAGCTTTTCTCCAACACACGCAAACATGGAAGTGGGTTTGAAATTGACCAGGGTCAATGCACAGGAAGCAGGATTAAAAACCACAGCAAATGGTTCTGTTTCTCCATAGGGATTTCATTCAGCAGGGGCTGATGACTTTCTCAGGCAGCATCTGAGATCCTCTGCTTGCAAATAGGTTTGGCTGACTGCCACAGCTAATGACAGTTTGGATTTAGTACTTGATGTTTGGGGTGGGGCATTATTTGGGGGCTCTGGTTATACTTGGTCTATTTATTTAGTCTTACTGTTTTCAGACTGCAGGTTCAAGTGGGATATAATGTATTTTAAAATATGAATAAAATATGAATGAGGATAGTGATAGTGAGATACAGTTGCATTTGTAGTAGTGATGAAACATCAAAAAACAGAGACAAAACGAGCATCAGATGGATTGTATTGATAATAAATACGCCACAATAATATAAATAACCAGTGCCAATTAATCAGTCAGTGAGAATGTGTGTGTGTGGGCAGGGCATAAGCACATGCAGCAAGCAGCAGCAGTGACCCACCGTCCGACGTGAGGACGGAAACAGAGGGCTGGGTGGGTATGAAGCACCTGCCATAGCAGGCGAACATGCCATTTGCGGTCATTTGACTTGACCAGTGGACTTCACTAAAGGCTGATTGGCTGGGGAAACAGGTGACATGCTTTATGTTCTAAAACTTGAGTCCAGCTCAGACCAGCCAGTTCACACCGCTGCAACTTTTTTCTGCAACATTTAAAATAGTTTCATCTGGTCACCAATCTTTGTTCTAAAAAGAGCTTATGGTGCCCCCATTATGTTTAAAAGGGCCCCACTTGGTCCAGAGGGTATAAAAGTTGGTTATAAAACAAGTCCAGCAGCAGTTGTAAACTTTGGCCTCCACGAGTGCAAACTACATGTTATTCCTGTGGTCTAAGACAGTCCAAAAACATGAACATCTCATTTATGATCTGGTCAAGTAAAGCTTTGAGTTACTCCATAGACAATGAATGGTGAGCTATGTTCAAGATGACACTGAGAGCATTCAAGGGAATGTTCTGAGTATATAGGTACATTATCTGTTTCAGAGCGGGGAACACTACAATAGAAAGATCATTTATATAAAAAATAAAACAAACATTCTTGGGGTCCATATAATTCGTCTTCATTCATTGACTACGGAGCAGCTCCAGACTTTATACCCTATGACATCGCAAGTTTGAGACTTCCTTTTCTGGTTTCTGACTTTGAGAGAGAAGAGCTCGTGTTAACAAATATTGATTAAAGTTTCCTGGGCCATGGATATAATATATTGAAATTCTTATTTTAGATGGTCTTCTCTAATTTTTAGGAAGAATTTTCCTGATGTTAAGTCATCAAAATTGTGAGGTCTTTTTAACTTCCTCCTGTGAGACTAATTCTCTAATGTTGCAGCGGTCTAAAATGTGCAAGCGGAGAGAGTCAAAAAGCCCTTGGGGAGCTGTAAAATGACCAGAGCCTTTTTAGAGGGCATCATTAACCTGCACACACTGAGATTAGTCAGATAGAAAATACACTCTCCAGCCTTGAACGCTTGAATTTAAGTTGAAATACGAGAGGATATTTTCTGCAGAACATGTTTGCAGGGGACTCCCCAGAGGCTGTTGTCAGCTCTGTCAGTAAATGAAGTGCTAAATCCAGAGTCACTGTGAGGTTACTGACTACATCCAACATGATGAAGGCACCAGTGAAAAGCAATAACTGACAATGTGTTGCACCATTTTTCATTGTTAGACGTGATCAAGTGGTTAAATAGTAAGCCTACGTCAATAGGATCAGTTAGTACTGTAGTTGTAAGTTTTACTTTTGAGATTACTTTTTTTTTGCTTAAGTGAGTTTTATTTTATCTCAAGTTAGTTTTGTTTGATGTTAAAAAAAATTTGTTTGATTAAAGTGGCATAAAACTAACTCCACAGATATGGATTGAAACTATAACTACAACTTTACTGGTTTGCGGAGGCAAACAACCGCCAGAAAAAAAAATATTAATAAAAGAAAATAATAATATAATATAAATTAATAATAAATAGAAGCTGCTGTAAAAAGGTCGGTAATGGACTTTTGTGAAATCTTCAGATACACTGTTAGCTGACCAAGGACAAAGTTTAGACTTGTATGTTCCGCATCATTTTCTGTAATTAAACTGCTGGAATTGATATCACAGCTGTGAGTGTGTAATGGATTTATGTCTGGACACTTCTAATTTCTGACACACTAATTGGGGAGCAGCAATGTGCTGGTGTGTCTGATAGATAGAATTTGTGTTCTAGGCTGTCTCTGAAGATTGAACCTGGCAACAGTTCCCCTCGCATTGCTTCTTCTAAAGAAGACCTGGCAGGTAAGACACACATTTTAGAGCTACACTGATGCAATAGTCTCCCGGTAGTTTGCCCTTTTTTGAATGCCAGGTGTTTATTTGAATTACTTAATCATTTTTATTTGCATAATTAGAATAAAATACATTTTATAAGGTTTTTGTTAGAGCACTAAAATGTTTCCAGACAGCATCACACTGATATCACATACACTGAAAAAGTCAGGACAGTTAATCGTATGTAGCTTTTCCGTAATCATTGGTAAAGTTACAATTATCCATCAGCTGTAGCATATAACAAAAATTGGACAAAAAGTTTGAGGAGACAAACATTATTACATAAGTCATTATTTAAATGACTGTATGATACATTTTGTTCATTTTCTTATCAGAGCTAGAGGATCTTGGCTCTTTCCTACCTTAGCAAAGATACATTTTTGTCTAACATTGCCTGCATTGAAGAAGCATTTATGTATTTTTCTATATGGTACATGATTGGACTGTTTACAGTGATTTTAAATGTATTTTGCCCAAAGAGGCAACCACAGCTATGTTGCTGGCGGCACAGACTGTGAAACCCTGAGCAGCAGAGAAACCCTACTGCTAGGAATGTCCTGACCAAGTGTTTATGACCCTGATCTCAATCTGAGTCACTTAATATTGAGTATCTGCTGATACTGAGTCCTTATCTGATACTTCTATTTTTCTAGGTAATACAGCTGCACAGTGCACACTTCAAGCACACTGAAGTTATTCAAATTTTATGCTTGGGAACTGAATAGCTATATAGTGAATTAAGGAAAACAAATCCCTGCATCCAAGCCGTTCCTTATTGTTTAATTATTTAATGATTTATTTATCAAAAAATAAGTAAACAGGTAAAAATAGCAAACCCTCCCTTTAATCTTTTTGAACTTGTTACTGTCTTGAGGGAATGTCTTTGTTCCTGTAAGAGACTGTTCTCCAGTGTTTGTTGCCTCTATTCAGCCTTTGCATGAGTTACCTGAATGAACTGTGTTCCACTGACTATTTTTATCATCTGTACATCTTTAGCAAGGATTTGGCTACATGAATGAAATACTCTCATTGCTTTTTCACTCTCAGAGCTTTTGTTGCACTTTGCAGTGGTGTGGTGAGTGCAGTTGTCGTCAGTTCTGCACTTCTATCTCACCTCCACCCACAGTGAAACACCATGAGCCATTAACACAAGAGACTTTCACACTGAGCTGAAACGAGTGCTCATAATTTTGTGCAAAAAACATTAATAAACAGTCATATAGTCTCATACTGCATTTTTGCTGTTGTTTATGGCCTTTAGTGTTCCTCCGCGGGCAGTACTCTGCCCCTGCTTGCACACACTCACAGTAGCTCAGCAGAGTGGAGCAGAGTAAGACAGCAGGAGAGTCGGGGATAACTGCACTCCCCATGTATCTGTATGAAAGCTTTGTGAGTAAAAACATTTGTGTGATAATTGACATAAAAACAAGGATTGGATCCTCTATAGACCTCAGTATAGCCAATCCCGATCAGTTAAAATATTCCTTGATTGGCTGTGATACCAGTCTTTGTGATCAGATACGGACATCTGAACGTACTGCTGTTAGACAATCAAATATCTCACGACAGGTCAACCGTTGCAGACTCGATACCAAACTGTCTTAGAACAAACTGGAAGCGAAGCACTACACAGACAAAGCAAGAATGAGGATGTTAGGGTGGCATTCATCACCGACTTAAGAGGCTTGAAAACAAACTCCCCCTGCCTACTTCCCAGCTCTACAAGCAGACCTTGACAGAAAAGACTGATGAGCTGTTGGCCAATACCCACTTCCTGCACAAGTATTGGAGCACCTCTGTGTTAGCGATCACTGAGACTTGACTTAACAGTGAGATTGATTCCATTGAGGTGGAGCCTTCAGGCTTCTCAGCACTCAGGACTGACCGAGACCCCAACATCATTGGGCTCGCAAGTTGGCATCTGTCTCCTCATCAGGAACAAGTGGTGTTGGAGAGTTGTGGTGAGAGAATACCTGTGTACCCTTGACACTGAGCTGCTGTGTGTCTCCCTCAAACATTTCCATCTGTCCAGGGAGAACTCTCCTCACTGTTACCACTGTGGTCTGTGCTCTGTCTATAAGAGGTTGCCAGAGAGGGAGCCTCAAAGAATGGCTGTCAAGGTGTAGAACGATGACAGCATAATGACTTTATAACCCTAATATTAACAATAAGGTTATAGCAGTGCCTGACTGTATGTATTTCTTTGTAATACCCACTGAGACCTTTTTAGTTTATCCTAATGATCAGCCTTGGGTGTCTAACAGATTAAAGAAATTTATACTTCAGAAGAAAAAAAGCCTAAAGAAACCAGGACGAAACAGCTAGAATGGGCACACAGAGACAAAAAAGAGAACTACAACTGGACAAGCACAGCTACAAACAAAAGTTAGAGGCTGACTACCAGCAATCCAAGAAAGGCATGGCAGGGAATTAGAACCATGACCAATGTTTCACGCAGTTGCAGGGGACTATACCTACCTTTGTTCTGCCCAGTCCTCTTGTCCCCCTTACACCCCACTTTACTATAAAGGAATCGCAAGTCCTTCAACTCTGTAGAGGCTGTTGCGATGGCCTATGCTGTTGTGAGCATTTATACTTGTGTGGTTGTGTGTGCGCATATGTGTGCGGTTTCTCCTTACTTGTCCTTCATCAGTGTGTATAATGTAGAACCTGGGTGTTGTGGCTGGTTGAATAACAGTCCCTTGTTTCTCCTCTCTTGGGAGCCACACATTTTGACCGGACTGCAGTGGTGGTGGGCTCGATATGATGCTTGATCAAGCAGCATCAGGGTCTCTGCTCTGTCCAAGGCTCACTAAATTCAGACCAGACTGTCAAACTAGGCAGTGCTGATCAAATCAGAATCAAGATTTGGTCACTGCATTGTTCATTTCCCACCACAAATGTTTTAAAAAACACATTTTAGTGTACTGTAAGAGAGACAGTATGTGACCAGAGTGCCATTTTTGTTCTGTTTGAAAACAGACCAAGCAACATCACAGCTTGCATGTGCTTCACAGCACTACGTTACACGTTTCATTGCTCTGATTGGTTGTAAATGGACCTGCACTTTTATAGCGTCTTTCTAGTCATCCTACCACTCAAAGCGCTTTTTACACGAGTCACAGTCACCCATTCACTCACACGTTCATGTGGCCGAGGCTACCTTACAAGGTGCCACCTGCTACTCAGTTTTTAACACACTCATACACCGATCGAAACATCATCTGGAGCAATTTCGGCTTCAGTATCTTGCTCAAGGATACTTCTACATGTGGACTGGAGGAGCTGGGGATCGAACAGTTGATCTACCTCTGAGCCACAGCCGTCATTAGTCTATCCAGTTGTGAACAGAGGCGTCTCACAAAGAGTCTTCTCCTTCAGAAATACATTATACCCTGGCTCTCTCTCAACCCTTCAATCATTTCATCAAAGTAACTTAACTTATTACATCAGATTAGTTTATAAACTGGGCAGTAAAGGTGAAAAAAATGTCTGGAAATAGGCTTTAACAAAACAAGGCATTCCTGCAGGGTGAAAGGATGCAGTGCAACAGAATGAGGTAACACTTTAAGATAAGGTACACAAAATTAGAGTAGTTACTGAGGAACGAATGAGGAACTAATGAGGAACTAATGAGTAGTTACTGAGGAACTTAGCTACACAAAATTTGAGTAGTTACTGAGGAACTAATGAGGAACTAATGAGTAGTTACTGAGGAACTAAGGTACACAAAATTAGAGTAGTTACTGAGGAACGAATGAGGAACTAATGAGGAACTAACTATTAGTTAATGGTCAGTTCCTCAGTAACTCATGATCAAATTTCAGAGGAGTAGTTACTGAGGAACTAATGAGGAACTAACTATTAGTTAATGGTCAGTTCTTCATTACCTCATGATCAAATTTCAGTTAATCACGACTTAATAATTAGTGAACTAGTTACTTCATCAGTGCAGAATCATTACTCAATAACCTGTCCATTAGTTAACCTTTTTATGTCCTAAAGTAAAGTGACACATAATGAGTAGTCTTTCATTACTTCATAACCATCTTTACAATTAATTCCTTCACAAAAAATCAAACAGCAGGATTCTTGAGAAGAGTTTTATTAATTATTTTCAGACCACATACACATTAATATGACCATCCATGTTATTCTGTACGATGATGCTTTAAAGGGGAACTAATGTTTTTTTCAACCTGGGCTCTATTTTCCAATCTACTTTTGTCTAAATGAGTGATAGGATGTTCAATATTTGAAATATCTCCAGTACGAAGCTAGGGCTGACCTGCCTGCAGCCCGTGAGCGCTCGCTATATTAAATAATAGGGCACTCAGACAGCGTCAAACAACGTCCAAATATGTCCACTAAAAGTGCATTTTTTTCACACGGATCGGCTTGGATTGTTAGTATAATTATCCGACAAAATAACGGAAAGGAGAAATGAACATCTGTGTTTACCTTAAGCTCGATTCGGACATGTTCCTCTGCCCGTTGCAATTTTAGTATATGTGCTGTATATGTGTATAAGTAACACTGCTCCCTCTCTCTCTCCTTGTCCTCTTCAATTTCAATGAGCTCTGCATCTGTGTATGTCCGTGTACTCTGTGTTCAAATAAATACAGGCAGTCATCAAATTCAAATGGCTCATCCAGATCCCATGGTCAAAATCGGGAAAAATTCAGACATGTTTGTTGTGGCAGGTCAAAACACTCACTCAGAGAGTGAAAATCTGGCTCTGAAATCTCACATCTCGCGAGATTTGAGTTGTTGCAGGAAGTAACCGCAGGAGTAACCTTACCAAACGCGAGGAGTTACTCTGTTTTGAGTAGTCATGGCTGAATTTTGACCCGATTTTGACCAAAGTCACTGTACTTAAGCACATAAAAAGGTTAACTAATGGACAGGTTATTGAGTAATGATTCTGTACTGATGAAGTAACTAGTTCACTAATCATTAAGTCTTGATTAACTCCTCTATGAAATTTGACCATGAGTTAATGAAGAACTGACCATTAACGAATAGTTAGTTCCTCATTAGTTCCATAGTAACTACTCCTCTGAAATTTGATCAGGGGCTACTGAAGAGCTGACCATTAACTAATAGTTCCTCATTAGTTCCTCTGTAACTACTCTAATTTTGTGTACCTTAGTTCCTCAGTAACTACTCATTCATTCCTCATTAGTTCCTCATTCATTCCTCGTTAGTTCCTCATTAGTTCCTCAGTAACTACTCTAATTGTGTGTACCTTAGTTCCTCAGTAACTACTCATTAGTTCCTCATTAGTTCCTCAGTAACTACTCTAATTTTGTGTACCTTAGTTCCTCAGTAACTACTCATTAGTTCCTCATTAGTTCCTCAGTAACT